TATTGAGGATCTAAGTTTTATTATTATTAGAATCCCAATCTCATTTATGACAGAACTTCTAAGTTTAATCTAGTCGACTTGAATTGTTCGAAATTCGGATCAACTTTGACTTCTTGAGTTATCCAATAAATATAAAATGATGGACAATAGCATCAATTCGTCAAAATCAATTAGTAACTAGAGCGGCTTTTCTCTTCCTAGAATACTTTATCAAATATTAATTACACATTTAATAATTATTTTCAAATTAAGAATTAATTAATTAAAGAAAAAATTTTCAAATATCTTTAATTGACGATATTAAATTCCCCAAAATTTCCATAGATTATTTTATGAAAATTAATAACTTCTGTTTGACGGAAATAGGGGAAAGAAGAACATTAAAGCTGAGTCTAATTTTTGCTATAGATAAAATTACAAAGCAGAAAGTTTTACGCCTGATGGCAACAGCAAAAGCTCTTTCGATGATCCAACAAATCTTCTTTGAATACAATAAAAACAATAAAGCAAAAACTTCTTAGCTTCTTTATGTTTGTTCCTTTATTTTTATTAATAAACCTAAAACATATTGCCATCCTACATATCTTGAAATCATACAATATCCGAAAAAAATATTGAATACAAGAGATCCCAAACAAGGAAATAGAAATAAGGAACCGATTTTTATTGTATAAATATCTCATTCATAAATTTCATATCATTTAGTCTTTATTTTGCCCACATAACTATGAGCTTAAATGTATGCATACAAATTCTATGGGACGGAATATGAAAGGCAAAAAATATTCACCTGACATGATTTGAATTCAAAATGCGTCATTTATATGTCTTTTATATCATAAAGGTATTGAGGATGATAAGGAAGAATGGAAATTTTTGCCTTTCTCGAGAAAAACTTTCAATAAAAATGAAAATGATTTTTTTTTTGCTTCTTTTAGAAGAGAATTGTTGACAATGGAATTTTTTTGGGGGTTTAAAGTTTCGTGATGGAAGTAAAATAGTCAGCAAGTCAAGGGTACACATCTGGGTAGTCTAAAGGATTCTACAACTCATTAAATGCCAAAGATTCTGACAAATTAAAATCAATGCTCTTAATAATATCCAGCATACATGCTTGAATCTTCAGAACTCATAGTGTTGAAGCATAAAATCTGTTCATATAGAATGCATCGATTGCCGACCTTAGAAGTTCTTAAACCTCTACAAAACTTCAAATCTCAAAACCAAATAGAAACTTTTCATTTCCACCATCCTCTTATTCTATTTCATATTTCTCAATTTTTTTAAGGACCAAATAAATTGTTTGGTTTGTTGATAAATGAAAGTTTTGTGCTTTTGAAGCCCGTGTTCGTCTCTTTTTTTCCCCAATTTAATAGTCAATCGCACGTAACATGACATATAGAGATCCATAAAAGCCATCTGTATTTAAATTGCAAAACATCGCAACCTTACTTTCGTTTCCAATAAAGTAATAAAATATTTAGATACACATGCTGACAAGTTTTCATATTCTTCGAAGGAAGAGATGGCAAAAGAAGAAATTTATGACACAAATCGTTTACAGTTGTTTATGTTCTTTGCGTGCCTTAAAAAATATTTGAGAAGAAGGAAAATTTTTTGACAGATTTCTTCTACATTGATATTTTAGGAAGAAGTAAGAATTGACAAACTTTTTTTTTCTTTCGCTGGATTCCTTTAATACTCAGGATGTCTCTTATGGAGAAAGTTTATCCGCCTTTGTACGGTCGAGGAATTCTTTTATTCTTTGCTGGATGAAGAAGTAAAGTAAATTTTGATGTTTGGGGATGTTCACCTATTACGTAACACAAATAATTTTATATTTAGACTCCTCTTCCAGTGGAGTAGTCAGGAATTTGAAGAGGGAAGATGAGAGGGGGGGGGTCTATTTTTTATGATTTATTCATATAAACCCTAGCAAAATGAGGAAATTTCTGTAAACGTAGATGGTTTTTTCACCCTATCCTCCCACCCCCTTGGCTATACACCTGCCCTCTTTCCCAAAATTTCTTAGAAAAAAAAAATTATTTTATAAACTTTAAATCCCCCCTAATAGCGTTACATATAAAGTGAACGACCCTTTGACGAAAACCTTGAAAAAGTTTTTTTTTTGTATATTTTGAGTAAATTTAATGATGACATAATTATAAATGTAAATAAGTAAATAAATAAAGTAACTTTGAATTCAAATATTATTCAACATTTTGGTTCAGTTTGAAGAACTTTGAATTGACAACTTTTGGTTGATGAACTTAATTGAGCGAAAGAAAAACTTTTTAATTGAAGTTGAAATTGAAAAATGTCTAATTAATGTATTTCGATGTTGGTTTTTTGTCGGGATAAACTTTGATTTTTGATCACAAATAATTTCACAGCCACTTAATATTCTGCTTACATTAAATTTAATTAACATCAATTTGCATCAAACGAAGTCAGTGCCTTTAAATTTTACTTCCAGTAAGACAATGTTTATCTACAAAGAAAAAAAAAATAATGCAAAATAAAAAGAATTTTAAAAAAATGTTAAAAATTTGAATTTTCCAAAATAATATATTTTGAACCTAATTGAGCAACAAAGTTATCAAAAAATTAAAGAAATCTAAGAATCCAAAAATGTTTCTATGAGGAACATAAAAAAATTGCAAAAAGAGCCACTAGATATACATACAAGTTCTAGATATTGCTTAGGTTTCAGATAAATTAAAATAAAGAGCTTATGTTGCTTAGGGGCCGTTCACTTATTACGTTACGCAAAAAAACGACTTTTTTCACCCCCCCTCCCCCCCTTGTTACAATATGTTACAACTCATAACCCCCCCCCCCCCCCCCCCCCCCTGAACGTTCATAATTTATTTTATCATTAAAAAGGTGAAAAATTTAAAAAAATGTTTTTGGTATGAATTTGTAAACAAATTTTTTTCGTGAACTTTTTTTAAGACAGACGACAGTTCGAACGTTACATAGTTCTTGACCCCCCCCCCTCCCTATGTTACATTTTGTTACAATTTTTCAAACCCCCCCTCCCCCCTAAAATGCGAACGTAATAAGTGAACGGCCCCTTAGGTACTGATTTTTTAAAGAGCTCAAGTAACTTGCGGCCTGTTTCACTAAAGTGGATTATCCTCGATTTAAGATTATCCACTTCAGTTTTTTGGAAATATCTCCAGACGCTTAAGGTTATTAAGAGATCTTATGTGTGATCTAGTTAGAGTATTTTGCAGCTTAAATTAACATAAACTTAGAATTTTTATATCTTCACTAGTTTGAGAATTATAGCAAAGATCCAAGATAATCTACTAGATTTGGCTAGAAAATTGAATAGTGAATACTTCTTAACGAAAAGTAAAAGTTTAAAGTATACAGAAATTTCAGGCATCCTTCACTCTATTATAATCCAAAATTATAAATACCACACCTCCCATAAAGTTTAAGATCGAGGATAATCCACTTTAGTGAAACAGGCCGTTGGTGATTATAAGCTTAGCTATTTTAAAATTGTTTAATTTTTTTAACGTTCTGGATTGAAGAACAAGCAAGATTCTTTAAGGATTGTTTGTAAATTAATCAAGAAAAATAAATATACCCCCCCCCCCCCTCCCCATCAATTTTTATAGGACCATTGATACGATAGTGAATGAAAATTTCAACAACGTTATTTACTTATTTATTTATATTATCTGTAGCGCATAATGAATGCAAACACAATACTTAAACACTTTTAATATTATTGGTTACAAAGTAAAAAAATGCTGAGTCATGATGATTTTCAGATTTTTTCTACAGAAAAATGTTGATTCTCAGCTTACTGTTTTGAATTTAAATCTCCGATGAATGCAATAAATGTTCTTTGTCTAACCACAAATTATGTTACAGCTGATTTTTTTGAAATATTTAAATTAATTAAATTTGACAATTTATATCCAAAAAAAACCAAATTATTATCTTAAAAGATCTTCAACAATTGACAAACCACAATTTTAACACAACATACAACTAAGTCAGTCCACTCTTTTATTCTCAATATTCTTAGTACTTCCAATTAAACCAATTCTCTTGCAATTAACATACATTAACTTTCAGCATTGAGAGCTTAACATAGATCAAGAAGATTGAGACAAATTTGTCGCACGTGTTAACATATATACATACAGACGAATACTGAGTGAAATCATATTTGAATACTATATTTACACATATGATGATATTCAAAAAAAAACATGAGAATGATTCGGCAACAATGGAACCTGTTTTAAGAAGAAATAAAGTTTTATACGCTGGTGATTGGCTGACTTTAAGTTCCATCGTTAGTTATATTTCAATTTTCCATGTATAAAGCATCAATATTTCTTCTTATCGTGAAAAAAGATTTAGAAAAGCTTATGGAACCACTAACTTAGATTCAACATTGAGGACATGTAAGTGATTGCATGTGAAGATTTTTCGGGAATTCCAGATTTTTTAAAAAGGGGATTTTTTTAAAATTTTTCTTGAGATTTCAGGGAATTGTATGTTTGAGCTAAGGATTTTCTATAGGTTTTCGGATTAGTTGAGATTTTCAAAATTTAATAATTTTGACGATTACCAAATTTCAAAAAAATTTTGTCACAAAATTTAAATTTTACATTTTAATGATTTAAATTGAAGCATTGTCTATGGTAAGTTGGGGAAGTTTTCAAAAAACTTAAAAAGTTAAAATTGATTTTATTTTAATCATTAAATTTACAATTTTTGTTGGTGCTTGAAACTGTTTTTATTTAAAAACCGATATCAAATTAAATTCAATATCTTAAAGCTTAAAATGAATGAAATTTGTTCTCAGCCAACTTTATATCCAGCTCAATACATTTTTTTAACTTGTTTCAAAAGTCATTTAACTTTCATTAAAATAAATCAACAATTTTCTTTGTTTTAAACCAGAACCTACCAGAAAAAGAACAAAACATCACAAAAGTTATTCAAAAATAAATTTTAAAACATCAAGACAGACGGACATATCCATGATAGCTCAGCACACTCTAATTAAAAACGTTTCTTATCTTTACTATTTCACAAACAACTTGTCTTGATATTTTATTTACTTCAAAAATATTCTCATACGTCGTAAGCTCAGTTACTAAAGAATCTTTAAATTGAAGAGATGTCAGAGCATATTGAATTTGTTAAAGTCTTAAAAGAACCCGAAAATCCATCAGATCACTTTCAATGGATGAACAGGGTGTCAGCCTTAAAAGTAAAGGGTGAAAAGTGGAAAAATTTCCCTCCCGTGTCCATGTTTCATGGTAAAAATCGTGACAAAAAAGATTTTTGGCTTTGGGATAAGGCAAAGAACTTCAAAGTATATCCTGATGATATATTCTTATGCGGATATATGAGAAGTGGAAATACAATGATGCAGGAGATGATTTGGCTTATTGTGAATGACTTTGACTTTGTCAAGGCTAAAAGTATCATTCGTGGTAAAAGATTTCCATACTTTGAGTGAGTCGAACCTTTTTTATATCCTTTACCTTAAAGCCTAAGACAATTCTCTTTAAATATTTCCTTCCCAGTGTCTATGACGTTACACAAAAAATGCGTGATGGTGAAAATTACGAAAGAATGGAAGATATGGCACGTCCTCGATGCTTCAAATCACATTTTCCAACTCAACTTTTACCTGATGATATTTGGCAACAAAAGCCTAAAATCATTCACATGTCAAGGAATGTTAAGGATGTTGCTGTCTCAACGTATTATTTTCTAAAAGATGTAGCCAATATAAAAGGAACACTCGACGAGTTTTATGAGGATTTCTTGAACGACAAAGTCTTATTTACTCCATATCGAGAACATTATTTGAACTACATCAATTTACCAGATTATCCCAATATAATGTACTTGACATATGAGTGGGTGACACAGAACATGGACGAAACGATTCATAAAGTTACTAAATTTTTGGGCAAGGAGATTTCAGACGAGAACTTTAAATTGTTGAAGGAGCACATGAGTTTTGAATCGATGAAAAGTAAGTGGAATGTTTGAGATTGTGCTGGTTTGATAACCTTTTTGTGAGCAAATGCAAGTGCATTGAAATGACAGAATGCATTTGCTGTTGACTTTTTAGAGCTCTTTAAAATGATAATGTTGTAAATATACTCAATGACGAAGCACAAATTGTTTGAATTTGATTCGAGCAAGACAAATATTTAAAGAATTTTAAAATGGCAGTGCCAACTCGCATAAAGTTTGCATATTTTTGAATTCAGTGTTGTTGACTTAGAGCTTGTATTTTAAGTTGATAATGTCCACGGATTGATATCAGAGTGAGGATATGCATCCACAATTTCTCTTAAACTCTTATTTGTGCCTTAACATATTTATGATAATCTAAAGACGATCTCTTAGTATAAACTAGGGTTCAGGAACATCTAGAGTAGTAGGTGATGTATTCCTAACCTTATAAATCCGAAAACTCTTTTGACTTATCGAACACAGTCGAATCCTTTCAGATAGCAACACTGCTTATTTTTAAAATTTCCAAACTCTAAAAAACTGATAAACTCAAATATTATATTGTAATAATTTTATCAATTTCCAGACAATGCAGCATGCAACAATGAGAAATATATCCAAGAATGTAACAAACGTGCAGGTGGAACTGGAGAAATCCAAGGTCAAATAAGAAAAGGAAAAATTGGTGGACATAAAAGTGAAATGTCTAACGAAATGGCTGAGAGGTTTGACAAGTGGATGGAGGAGGGACTTAAATTGAATCAAGGATTCCTTTATAAATCTTGAACTCTAATGAAGAATTTTTCGTGGAATATTTAAAAATAAATCTGGAGTGTTGCTGTGTAAATTGAAAATAATCAAAAATAAAGTTGAAATGTTAATTAAGTGATATTGAGGATGTGATGTAAGCATAGGCGAAGGTTTAATAATTTGAAGAATTTAAATGCAATTTAGAGAAAATGAATGCATAATATTTTAGTATTTAAAATTTAAACTATTTCAGAAATTCATAAAATAAATGATAAATGTTTAAAAAAATAAGTGCATAAATTTTTATAATTTTCAAACATGTCCATTAATAATACCCCTAAAATCATAGATAATAGGAATTTATGAAATGTCATTTTCAGCATTTCCGGAAAACAATAAATTTAAATAAGATAATTATCATCAATAAATAAAATTAAAAATGATTACAGCAATAAAAACAAATAATTAAAATTATGAATATTCAATAAAGTTGGGATTTGACACCAAATTTCCATAAATGACAATAAATATTATTTGAGTGCTAAAAAGTGTGCAACTGTTATCAAAAATTAAATATTATTTGATAAAATGTGTAAAATCATTACCTTTTTTGGTTTTATGGTTTTATTTTTTTGTCGACATTTGACATACTTGACATTAGGATTTCACGTGAAGCTTTGTTTATAAAAACATTCACGTACACCTTTTCGTGCCTCTTAATCTAATCAATTAATAACTTTTGATTCATCACGTGTAAGTCACCATCTACAAATATGGAAATAGATAATAAAATTAATGACGGTTTGTTATTGAACACTTTGGAGGCATGTGCTGTTGACACAAGCGTAAAGATCTATTTTAATCAATTGATATCGTAGCATTTTTGTGGGCAAAATATTCAACTGATCTTTTTAGACTCATTAAAATTAATTTAGTGCTTTTTATTCTTCAAAAACTGACCTATAAAGGTTAAAGCCGAATATAAGCCAAATCATGATAAAACACGTTTGAAAAATGATAAAATGAGCACATATTTATATTTTACAGGAACAATTCAATAACATCAGAGATTGAGTTTAAAATTCATCGCTTAAAATTGATTCAAATTGAGTTGAAGTGTCACAGTAGAGGAGAATCTGGGATAATGAACTAAAATCTAAAAAATGTGGATGTGAGTTCCCAAAAGAGGCTCGTCTCTTCATTAAAAAGTTTTTTATGACTGGAATTCTCAAGAATGGTCACAATTTCTATATCTAGCGATCTCCAATCGCTTAGAACATCCTCTGACTTTAACATTCCCTCTTTAAATTGTCAATATCATCTCTAATTCCTTGTTTTTATTCACGAATCATTTCCTTTATCATACCTGGCATCAAAAATTCAATAACATCCAACATTCTCAACAAGTATCCTGGATATAAACATATTTATTCAGCCATCGGCAATGATCAGCAACGATATGGATTTTTTGTGTTGTTTAAAAAATAAAATATTCTTTGGGAAATTTAAAACAATGAGCTTGTGGCTTAAGATCCATAAAAAATCAAGACACGAGAAAGTTTATATACTTTTTTATTGTATCTATTTCCTTGTTTATATTTTTGAAGTATCTTATTACATTTAACAGCATTTTACTTTCAGTAAGGGAAGCGATGTAAAAGTTTTCTTTTATGAATCAGTTGCCTACGCAAGAAGCTTTTCTGTTCTAAAGCTATGGAAAGAATAGAGTACCGAGTAGATTGTAATTTATGGTAATATTTTTTTTTGTTGCTTCTTTTTACTTTGGTTAAATAAAATTACCGCATCGTTCTTAATGTTGGGAGATACAAGGGGTTGATGCTGGGGAAGAAAAAGCTATCATTTAATGATTTTTCAACTGGATATTGGATTCATAAAGCTAAAGCTACCTTCTTTGATAACTTTTGGCTAGAAAAATATAACATATCGGGAAGGGAAGCTTTTTCAATTAAGTATCAAAGGATTAAGATGCCAGTCTAGAGCCTTTAGGATCTCACTTTGCTTCTGTTTCATATCCATTGAAATCCAACGTACATGATTGCATCAAATTCAGAGCATCAACGCCTTGTCTCTCAATAATCCAGTAACGCCTTTATGTACTCTTACACACTCTCCTTCATCTTCAGAGAATATGTCAGGAAATAAATGAGATATAAACGAAAGTTTTCATAAACAGGCCAGCATTAGAGGAATGGAGTTAATTTCTCTAATATTTTTTAACGATCATTTTCATTCCTTAATGATTCAATCTGCATAAATTTCTACTGTTATTTTCTCAATGAAATTTTCACATTCATCCTTTTCATGAAAATTATTATTATTTCCGCTTTTAGCTTCCTTTCGTCTTTCAACCCCTTGAAACCGTCCAATGGAATTAAAACATCAAATATCCGTTTTTGGTATTTATGATTAATTGAATTTTTGCGTTTTTTGGTTTACTCGTAAGCTATAAAATTGAAATAACACGAGCTTTTGGTTGTTAAAGCTGTCTGAATGTCAATTTTGGATGTAAAATGTAAAATCATTTACCTTAAAAAAGTTCAATCTAGATATTTTTTTATTGCAAATATTATCTTTCATAATATTTTATTGAGGGGGAAACAACATTATGAAAAAAATTTTGAAATGAATTTTCCACTGCATTTGTAATTTTTCTTAACAACCAAAATTTTACTATCAATTTTACGTCAATTTTTTCCCCCTCATTTTGTTTTCCCCTTCCATTTTTATAGACATTACCTGTCGTTGATACCAAATTTACGATACCAAAGATAAGAATATTTACAGCAATATGTTCAATATGCTGCATGGTAACTGCATATTACAAACATTAAAGCATTGTCTGTTATTCGATATATTTCCAATAAATTCCAATAAAAAACCGATAATATTTAGTTCCAATATTGATACTGATAGCATTTGTTATATCGGCTTTATTCTGTGGGCGTGGGGTTATAGAATGTCCAATAAAATACATATGAATATCACAGAAAATTGAATAATTGAAAATCGACCTAAGGGATGTTCATAAATATTATATGTCGACCTTGAATGAAAAAAGGTTTGAGGACTCTTTTTTTATGAGACAGAGGATCAAATATTTGTACTTGGATCATTCATTACATGCTTGTTGATTCAGACAATATTCTTTTTCATGTCAGTTGAGATTTTTTTGAGAAATTGGAAATTTGAAAGGCTTTGATCATGTTGAACAGTATTTTGCAATGATTCGGTTTTGGTGCTTAAAAATATTTAAGATATTGAGTCAAGTATAGCCCGAATGGCACAAGTCGGTTAATCGATCAGAAATCCAGTACTAAGAAGGTGTGACTCTGGCAAAGTGCTAGTTTTATTTCGAAGCCAGCACCATGCTAGAGTCATGCAAGCTAAGCAAGTTTATGGGCAAGATATCAACAGAACAAGAGCTTTAGCAACAACAAATAAATGTTTGAATCATCTTTGGTGAAGAAGGAGGTTCGATTACTTCTGTCATTTTATCTTCCAGCTTAAAGCTGCCACTGACATACCAACATCATCTCAGTACTTTTCAACTTGTCTCAATTTTCATTATAAATCTTCTTCATTTCCATGGGACTTGTCAAAATTCACACAATATTTTCGCCTTAATTTTCTCATCTTTCGTTCCTCATCGTCGAGCTTAAATGAATGGAAATGAAACGAAAATAACCGCCAAAGAAAATTCATTATTGCGGTTGAGCCAATCTAAGGTTTAGTATTTACATTCACAGATGGAAAAAAAGGAAAGGAATCTCTTTCATGTTCATTTTAGAACAGTGTTGCAAATGTAGATGTCTACACTAGATGAAGAATGTAGATTCTTCAATAGTTTTTGTCTAGCTAAGAAACTTTCTTCATAAAGATCGATTCTACATGTAGAAAGAAAAAAACCATCTACATGTAGATTGTGTCTACATGTAGAATCTGTCTACATGTAGATTCGATGTAGATGTCTATAATTCTACATTTTTTTCCAGGTCTACATCAGAGAAGAATGTAGAATCGTAGACATCTACATTAAATCTACATGTAGACAGATTCTACATGTAGATGGTTTTTTTCTTTCTACATGTAGAATCGATTTTATGAAGAAATTTCTGTCTCAGAATTTATCTGATCCAGACAAATAGCCAGAATGCAACACTGTTTTAGAATTAAAAAAAAGGCGAGAGAAATCAACTGTTGTTTGTTTATTCATCATGCTGAGATGATTGCAAAAGAATTTTCTTCGGTCCGCGGCTGGAAAACACATTGCCGCATACCAAAAAAGCCAAAGCAATGACGCCGTTTTTTTCATAGAATGACGATAAATCAAATCCGGAGATTTACCTCAAAAATATTTCCGCATCGTTGAAAATAAACACTTGAAATTCACTGGCTGTTTAGTGAAGTGTAGCGAATTTTTTTTTCATCCTGACCATTTTTTTTCCTCTCTGCTCTACGCTATACATTCTATCAAAGTGCGGTTGGTGCGGCAATGTTGATGTATTGTGGTTGGCAAAAGCATGCAACAGCAGAAGAAAAATGTTATATTTTTTGCAAAATATCACCATGATTAAATGGCTTCTGTGTACACAGAGACCCTGTAAATGTATAAAGCCTACAAATCATTGAATTTAATGCGGTATCAGTGATATTATTTATTGTAGCATAAAATAATCGTATCGTGTCTCCCTAATGCGATTTTCCAGCCATCATACAATGAATGTGCTAGAAAATATTTTTTATGGGGATTTGTTTTTTGTTGAGGTGATGACGGAAAAATTTTAATCTAATTTTGAGTGAATGTAATTTAATTGATTTGATTTATTAAGGTTTATTGAAAATTTATTGGGTAATTGTGGATGATGTGTTGAATTTTATTATATTTATACTCATTTATGCTGAAACTTTTGGGACTCAATATGGGTTTTTTTGGGTTGGAAAAATCATAGCGGAAATAAAATCCATGAATATTTGTTTTATGAATAGAATACAGGGGCGTGATTAGGGGGGACAGAAAAAAATTGTATATGAAAATTTAAGGAGAGTTCTTTTTAGGATTTTTAAGTAAAGAATTTTTTGACGACGGTGGATTAGTCTTCCTGTCTAAAATAAGACAAATGTGGGTGCAGTCTTAGAGATGTGTAAGGAAATTAGGTTACATGAAAATCAAAAGTTTTTTTTTGTGAATTCCAGAGAACATGAACTTTAATGCCCAAATTAACTTTATTCACCGAAACTTTTCTTTTAAACACAACAGCAATAGAGCAATGAGTCATTTATTCTGGAACTTCATGCCTTAAAATATGAAAGATCTTTTGTTTAACCCATAGTTTAGGGTAAGCAATATAATTTCGTCCATCACCACGGTCGACTAACATTGAACAATCTTGCAACTACAATAAAAATTTAAAACTTTTATTATTAAATAATTCATTAATATTTGTAAATTACCTCATCAACATACTGATATAAATTCATAATGTCATATGTTATATACGGAACTTTTTGATTGATTTTCTTAAGCTTCTCTTCATATAATGTGCAAATATGTTTCACTGCATCCGGAATTGATTCAAAATCATAATAATGCTTACTTTTTGGATTACTACTAAACTGAATAAGTAGAATTAAATGAACCATATTTTATCAACTCCAGAGAAATACTGAAATTTCAATTAAAGCAGCTGTTTAAATGAGTTTATTGATGACAAACCACGGTCGGAGTAAGAATTTTTTGAAGGAAGTGGATTTTGAATTTTTTTGAGCGTTTTTGAAGTTTTTGAGGGTTTTGAATATTTTTTTAAAACTCAAGAAAATTATTTAAATTGAAAAAGTTGAATGGGTTTTGACACCAGAAACCTTTACCTGAGTACACACCTGAACCAAACTGAAATGTATTTTTGTAATATTTATTCTTAACTTAAAAACATCATTTATTACGAAAATAAGACGGTGGAGAGGAGGGAGGGGCTTTTTTAACGTTTGTTAAAGATTAATCCAAAATTTGCATCAATATGGTTCTCAGTTTAATCGTAATAAATGAAAGGCAACAAAGCTTTTCAATCGTTTTGTGGCTTTTGAATTAAAACACTTTAAGCACAAAATATAAGAGACTTAAAAATCACTCAATTTTTCTCCCACAATAATCTTAATTAAAACTGCTTTTTAAAACTTCAAAACTTCATGGTCATATTCCACAAACGAGCTGCTAAGTTGTCTAATTACTTTTCTTCTTGCACTGACAATTGAGCAAATAATTTGGAAAGAAGATAATAAAAAAAAATAATATTTTCTTGAGCTTAATGACACTTTTTTGTGTGACTTTTGTGCGAGAAAATGTAATTGCTTTCAGAATATGTTGAAATAACTTTCTACGGTAATTAAGCTTTCAAAGTCAAACTCATTAAAATAATAATTTCAATTGAATGTTTTTTTAATCGGAATAAATTATTTTTGACCTTATTTTTTTGGATGGAATCATTGGATTTTGGGTTGGTACCTTAAAATGGACAGATAGTAACTTTTCAGGGATTTCTAAAATTTATATCAATTGACGTAACAAGAAATATAAGAAAATAAAAAAATCAGAATAAAACATTCATCATGTTTGCTAAATTTGCGGGCTGAGCTAGTCGTCATGCATATACTGAACATCCTTCAATGGTTATACACGCTGCAAATGTTCACCCAAAAGGCAACTTAAAACTTTTTTCACAAAAAAAAGAAAATTTAAAGTTAACATTCGAAAATGTTGTAAAAATTATCATTAACATTCAAGCACACATGCTTCCACACTCATTTTAAAAGCTTTACAGGTACATTATACAATTATTGTTAATTGCCTCCTGCCATCACATACTCATAATCATTTTTCATGATTGCGATTCTTCTTATTCAATTGCACAAGAAATTTTCGCATCGAAATCACTTTCATCAATTATGTTCATCACGTCATGTACTTCATCATCCTTATATCATTGTCATTATTATCGTGTTCCTTTTTATAATCGCTTGTATCGTCAACAACACCCAATAGTAATAATAAACACCACAAACGTCGTCATCATTATTATCATTATTGTCATTCGTTTAGATACGATTTCATCGTCATAATACTGATTTTTATCATTTTCATCTTTAACACTTACTCTTCTATTTACTATACATGTATTGTGTATGAAAAGATTTATGCGATGCCTCAATTTTGATTGATTGTGTTGGAAGAAATGGAAGAAAAGTTTCGTTTTTGCCCCGAAGATATTTCATTTTTATTTCCATCTCGTCTCATCATTCTTCGATCGTAAAACTTGAACTTTTTTTTGTGCTTGCTTGAATGTTTTCTTTATTTCTATTGCATAATTCACACAGTGACGAAAAATAATAATGTTGTGGATCCATACACAAGATGTATTGAATAGGGGTAGGGCAGGGGGTGTGAGGGGAGCAATGGGAATTTTTGAAGCGGTGTTGAACTTTTAAAGGATTTTAAAAAATTCAAAAAAAAAATATTAACAGTTAAAAAAAATTAAAACCTAGTTAATCTTTTAAAGAATTTAAAACTTTAATTTTTATTTTTTTATTTTTTTTTGTAAATTTTTTCACAATTTCTAACCTTAAAAACTTATTTTCTCCTGTCCATAAACTTTATTGTCCACATTCTCCCCTATCTTTTCCACATGCCTCAAAGGAAGGTCATCTTGACAATAAAATACATCCAGTTAAATACATATCATTGCAAACAGTTCATAAAATTGCTCCAACACGTCCGAAAAAAGTTTTACTCAAGCAGCATCAATATTTTTTTTTAAATAAATAAAAATGGAAAATATGGCAGGAGTATAAGCATAAAAAATGGAAACAGAAATAACAAATATTTTTCTCGCACATCTACAATGAGGAAACTTTATTATGTCGGAAAAATATTTTATCTGGGGTTTTTTCATTAAATTGTTTTTTTAGTTGTTGTTATTTGGATATAAATGCAGTCGAAAGAGAGACACAGAAAAAATGTGAGATAAAATTCTGCACTTGCAGTGTAGCAATTGAGATAAAATTTATGTGAATTTATGAACTTTAATAACTTGGTTTTTTTTCAAGCCGCATTCGCACAATAGCATACATTTTAAATATCTTCAAGTGCTCTTTTGTGGCTATGATGAGGTTATTCTTTTGTTGTTGTGTCAGAACGTCTGTGGATGAGAATAAAATTTTGGATTGCAGTTTCATTGAGATTTAAATGCTTTATGTAGGTTAGTCTTGAATTTAATTGATTTTTAAGTGCAAGCAAATGCGGAAGCTTAAATGAGCAATTAGTAGTTGAGGATGTTGAGAATTGGCGAGCCATTTTTGAGGGTAAAGAAGTTATGAGTTATTAGAAATAAAGTTGGGATTTAGATTTCAGATATAGGTTGCTGACTATTGACGGCCACTGATGGCTTGTCATTTGTCGATGGGTGTCAAAGGATATAGAACGGTTCATAGATTAGGGCATGAATTCTTAAAAAGTTAAACTTTCCAAATGACAAAAAGCGAGTAACACTTGCGTGTGACCTTGGTTAAGATATGCCCTATTTAATTCTGCATGTTAACATCCCTTGCAATCTATTTCTTTTTTGTAAACGATTGCATTTTATATAAAAATTCATATCCTATATACGTATTTAAATCACAAAAATGTTTTTATTAGAACAACAGAAACAACCTATAAAAAGCTGAAATGATTAAAAAACACTGTGAATTGTTTCCTTTTTAATTTCCTCTGCTAGATAAGCATCGCTGACTGCAGAATGGAAAATGATTTTTATGATAACAAAAAAAAGAGTGTATAATGTCTTAAATAAGTAGACCTAAAGCTTCAATAACAACAACAACATAGAGTAATAATGAGAATGAAAAATGAGTTGGAAGAGGAATAAAGGATAAAAAAGTGAACAAAGCTATAAAACTTTTTTTAAAGCAGATATCGTTTATTGAAAATATAACAGCATATCGGGGAGAAATGAAAAACTCACGCACAACAATGGAAAATTTGCGACATTTTATTATCGCGTGTGGTACAATAACATAACAGCACATCATGCGAAAGCTGTAGAAATACAACACATTCAAGTGATTTATGATTTTTATAAGCTTCTATGCCCGATTTTATGGGAAAGATGTGGGGGAAGGGGGATGGTTGGGGAGATATTTTGTTCAAATATTTAAATCAGAAATTCTCAAACTTACTTTCAATTGTGTTAATTGAAAAAATTAAATCTGCTTTGTTTGAACTTTTTATTTCTGAAACTAAGGATTTAAATTGTCTCTTAGCCGCCTCAACCTTCAAAACGTATTTCAGTAATTAAACTTATTCAACCGTTTAACAACTTCAATTATGCCATCACACACATGCAAAAAGTCAAACAATAAGGACAATTTGGCACAGAACAATTCACATTAAACGTTCATCTGTTCACAAATTTTTTCCATACTATTCTCAAACTATTTGTTAAATTGTCACCGAAAAGAGCTGTAATTAGAAAAGTTTTTAGCTCTTTTTTATCACATTGAGAAATTCAAGTGCAATGCTGATAATTGAATTTGAAAATCACACGAAGAATTCAGACTATGAATGACTTTGACCTAGATGTTTGCAGCATCTGAACGATTTTTATCGATACTTAAAAAAATGACGAAAATTCTTGGAACTGAGCCACATATCATTCGGTTTTGCCATTGAATAAGCTCAAAAAATTACAATTTTCCTTTTCATTATTCACAAAAAAAAACTTTGAAAGTTATGAAAATTCACAAAAATCCTTAAAGCATCTCGAAACCAAAACAACTTTATTAATCAATTTTTTATCAGTTTCCATTACGTTTCTCATTCATTTTCAGCCTACGCTGACTTACCAATTCCAGGAACGAAATCATTCATTACATTTAAATTTGGAAGGGGAAGTAAACTTGAAAGAAAAATTTTCATGTTTGTAAAAATTTTCGACTTCATTAAACTTTAAGGCTGGAGGCAAACATGCTCAGATTTGGAATAAATAAAGTAAAAAAATGTTGAAGATAATTTCAAGTTAAAAAGACGTGTTTTTGAAATAAGTTTAAAGATGAGAGGTGTGGGGCGTATTAGGGCAACTTCCACTGCTTTGTCAACGTACCTAATATATAGTCCTAAGTTCCACAATCCTCTCATCCCCCTTAGTCAATTACATCCGCCTTAAGTATCCTTCAGTCAACATTCAAGGGTTATTTTTATTTTCTTTTTACTCAAAGGATGAGCAGAAGAAAAAAAAAACTAGCAATAATACTAAAAATATTCTTCTCATGATGACAGCTGTTATTAAACTGCTGGCGAATACATCATCGCACAGCATGTATTATATATAACTGAAATAAGATGAAGTTTAAATGTACGTGCTCGTGTTCGTCTTCATATTTTATTTGTTCATATTAAATACAACTCAAGGTATGATGGAATGAACATTGACTGACTGTGAAGATTATTATCATCTTGGATGGAAGCTAGGAAAATAAAATGAAAATTATCGCATTTATAATGGAATTTTAAAGTTTTACATCAAAAATTTCTGTGATCAATTTAAAATTCATTTTTCATTTCCACGTCTTTAAACTTTCGCATTCAGCGGCTGTAACTTAAAATGTGGTGGAGATGAAATGTTTATTGGTTTGTGGAAAGTTTACTTGGCGCATTTGTGCAATATATTTTATCAAGGATGCATTTCTTGTGGAATTTCGAAAATTTTCTTGAAATTTATTGGGTAAATTGGAGTGTGGGCGTGAAGTACGGCTGAGACCCATATCGACACAGTTCAAAAGTTATACCTAATACCACTTGGTTTGAATTTTGTCACCCTCGGGAACACTTTGAACCAGTATAGCTGATTTTGGTCCAAATCTCGGCCATACTTCACACTTATTTTTTTTTGGTTTCCACAGTAAAGAGTATGAACAAAATTCAGATGGGGTAGTCGAAATTTTACGTTCGATTTTTTTTAAGCTATGCATTACAAAAAGTAATATTGGTATGTGATTTATGTCAAAATTATGTCAATTCAAATAAAACATCCAAAAAATTTTTTTGACCAAAGTACACCAAGAAAATCAATTTTCAATCTTGGACTAGGGGCGACCCTAGTCAAAATCATTTTTGTCACTTTTTTCTTCGAGGGTTTATCCAAATGGATTAAAACTTTGCATAAATATTTAAGTACTTAAAACAAATACAAATAAAACATCCAAAAAATTTTTTTGACCAAAGTACACCAAGAAAATCAATTTTCAATCTTGGACTAGGGGCGACCCTAGTCAAAATCATTTTTGTCACTTTTTTCTTCGAGGGTTTATCCAAATGGATTGAAACTTTGCATAAATATTTAAGTACTTAAAACAAATACAAATAAAACATCCAAAAAATTTTTTTGACCAAAGTACACCAAGAAAATCAATTTTCAATCTTGGACTAGGGGCGACCCTAGTCAAAATCATTTTTGTCACTTTTTTCTTCGAGGGTTTATCCAAATAGATTGAAACTTTGCACAGATATTCTAGTGCTTAAAACAATACAAATAAAACATCCTAAAATTTTTTTGAGCAAAGAACCAAGTAGGAAATACATTTTCAATTATGAACTTGGGACAGGTCTAGTCAAAATCTAGTTTTTCACTTTTTTTTCTTCGAGGATAAATCCAAATACAGTAAAACTTTGTATGAGCATTCTAATCCTCAGGTCACACATTTCTGAATTAATAAAAATCATTTTTTCGGACAAAATTTTAAGTCACGTTGTTTTTGAATGTACAACCAAATTTATAAAATTTGGGTCTGACGACATATAGAATCCATTTCTTGTTTTAGATTAGGACTGGACTAGGGTCGCCCCTAGTCCAAAATTTAAAATTGATTTTCTTGGTGTACTTTGGTCAAAAAAATTTTTTGGATGTTTTATTTGAATTGACATAATTCTGACATAAATCACATAGCAATATTATTTTTTGTAATGCATAGCTTAAAAAAAATCGAACGTAAAATTTCGACTACCCCATCTGAATTTTGTTCATACTCTTTACTGTGGAAACCAAAAAAAAAAATAAGTGTGAAGTATGGTCGAGATTTGGACCAAAATCAACTATACTGGTTCATAGAGTTCCCGAGGGTGACAAAATTCAAACCAAGTGGTATTAGGTATAACTTTTGAACTGTGTCGATATGGGTCTCGACCGTACTTCACGCCCACATTGGAGTTTAGGAATTTTTCGAGTGTGGTTCAAGCAGCTCTAGAAACTTGCCATTACTTAGTGTTATTGTTTATAAAATAAATTTCACTTATTTGTTGTCTGAGCTATCAATAGGACAGACTATGACTTAAAAAAACAGTGTTTATTTATTTTCTTAGCCAAACTGAAGAACAATTTTATCAAAATTGCTTATAAAACAGCACGAGACCACTAAAAAAAGCTTCATATTTTCCATTACAATAAAAGCAGTCGAAAAGACCATTATTTTCCATTCCACAGTAATTATAATAAGTTTCTACGGCATCTTTGCTTTCCAGCAATTAATTAAAAGTCTTTCACTATTCTGCAATTAAGCGGAAGTAATACTGGAAGTTGAGATAGTTATGCCTTGAGGAAGTCGAGGTAGTAAATATTTTATTATCATGAAAATATTTTAGTCGTGTAAATATTTTAAATGCTGCTTTTCAAGCACCAAAAATATGGGAAGGAATTTTTAAAGAGTATTTTTAAGTTTTCATATAGTGCTTCTTCCTCATCTTAAAGTCATTTGACACTCACATTAAAAATTACTCAATCATTTAATCAATTTAAAGCTATCGATACATGTGACAAGTCATGCGAGTAATAGAAAATAATACCAAACCACATTGTGACACAAATTTTACAATTGCATGATTTTTAAAGGATTAACTGTAGTGTGAAAATCAATTCTACAAAAAGGGTGTTTGGTTTTGTATTTAATACTTTATTTTTTTCGTTCACACAGATACGCAAATTATGATATTAAAGCTTTTGTAAAAGTTCAAGGATCTAGATCAGTAACGTAAAGGTTAACATTTTTAGTCTATTTTTGGGTATTTTAAATAAAAAGAAGTAAAATTTTCGATCAAAAGAAATAAAAGCATTAAAGAATATGAAGAAAGGTACGAATTAGAAACTTACATCATTTTCAAAAGGAAAGTCTCCGAGTGTAATGCAATCGATATGAATTTTCTTCAGATGAACTGTTCTTAAAGAAGGTGAGTTTATCTTTAAAGTTGAGTTATTTTGGGATTTATGGTGTTGAAATTTTTTTTCAAGAAATCTTTTTTTTTCTTTGGATTTTTAATTGATTTTAAGTTTTCAGAGTAATTAAAGTAATCAAATCAGTATAATGAAAATTGAACTAGTAATCCTAATTTGATATTTTAAGACAAGGAATCGATTGGTGTAATTTAAACTTATTGATTTCTTCAAATAATTCCAGCCTAAATTTAAAATCATTCCAAAAAGCAATCAATCTCAATTTGTCTCATTGTAAATTGATAACAATTAAAATGAGTCGTATACAAATTTTCTCATTTCGGGAATCCCCAAAGGTGATTCTCTTTCAGCTTCTCAACAATACTCTCACTGACTAATCCATTCTTTGAATCAATTAAGAAAGAAAAAAATATTCTCATTTTAAAATGAGTAAGTCTGAGATTTTTTGTTGAGAACTAAGCTCAGTTTATAATTTACATTCAAGCTGTGTGACTGCGAAATCTTGTTATGTGTAGACACAGTTCACATTTTTACTGATAATGATTAGTCGGAATTTAGTTTTGTTGTTGTTTATTTTGATTTTGATTTGTAATTTTGTTCAGGCACAAGGTAAGTGTTTGTTTTGATCATCAATTGACTAAAGTATTCAAAAATTAAATAAATATTTTGAAGAACTTTCTGGATTAAAATTATTGGAATTATTAATTATTATCTTTAGAAGATGCATGTACTCTGCCTGATGGAATTTCTCAATCGTCATGCATTTACCTTCAACGTTGCGATCATTTTCAAAATCAAATTAAACAATACGGTGGAAGACCGCCACAAAGTGTGGTGAATGACATTCGTGCTCATCTGTGTGTGAATCCCAAGGTAATTCTTGCTGCACAGTATTAAAGAAAAAAATCGTCACATATATTAATTTTTTATAGTATGTTTGCTGTCCTGTCCCACCAACAACAACAATCGCACCTGTTACAATGCTTCCTATTCCAAAAATAACTACAATGTACCCACCACCTCCAGAAGAAATTCAATTTAGTCTTGAACAAATCAGACAACATCAAAACTATCGATTAATTAATGCAAATTCCTGTGGATTGCAAACCTCATTAAGAATTGCAAAAGGAATAAAAGGTAAGAGACCTAAAAGTCTAAAGATTAACTAATTGCTAATTTTGAATGATATCTTAAAGCTGTAATTAATGAATTTCCTTGGGCTGTACTTCTTGGATACAATGATGGTTTAGGCGAAATTGTTTGGGACTGTGGTGGAAATCTGATAAGTGAGCAATATGTGTTGACAGCTGCGGTAAGTAGACACTAAAGGAAGGTTTCTTAAACTTGATAATTTTTAACTTTTATATTAGCACTGCATTAGAAGAGATTTGTAAGTAATTTGATTAAAAATCAGCTGAACAACATGAATTAAATCCATAACAAATCATTTCAGAGAGATCGCACGACTTGGAGAGCATACAATATCAACAGAGAGAGACTGTGATAATTTCGGAGCGTGTACAGATCCTGTACAAGAGATTAAAATAGAGAAAGCCATAAAACATCCAGAATATGGAAAACCAGAGAATAAACATGACATTGGGCTAGTAAAATTGGCTGTTCTAGCAGATACAACAAAACTTAATGTTAGGACTATTTGTTTGCCAACAATGGAAGCTGTGGAGATTACTAAAGTTAAATCAAGGAATTTTACAATGACAGGTGACGAACCTTAATTTAAATGCTTTTATGAGTTTTATCAATTTTTATGTTTCAGGATGGGGAAAATCTGGTAAGAAGCTAGGATTAATTCCTTGATGATGACTTTAAACTGTACTTGATTTTAGAATTTGGCATAAAATCTGATGTTTTACTGAAGACTGAACTGCAACTTGTAGAAAGTTCACTTTGCAGCTATAAAGATATTTTTGAAGAAAAAATTTGTGCTGGTGGATTCAACAAGCTTCATACATGCAGAGGTAAATTTTTAAAGACATTAAATTTTTTAATCTTAACTTAACATGTGCTTAATGTTTATAATTGAATGCTACAGGTGATTCAGGTAAGACACAGTACTGATAATACTAAATATAACTTAAATGATTCATCAAATCACACATTTGCGCCTTCAAAGGTGGAGGACTTACAACAGCAGTTGAAATGAATCGAAGACCAAAAGTGACACTTTATGGAGTGCTGTCCCGAGGTGTGAATTGCGAAGAATCAACTGAAATATATCCTGATATCTATATGAATGTAAAATATTATTTCAAGTGGATATTGGACAATATGTCTTGATTTTTGTGTAAAATAGGATGTGAACTTAATGAATTCCTTTGTATCGATGTTCAGGAAAAATGTGAGATTTTTAATAAAATCCAATTATTTAATTAAATGATTTTAAATTGAATGCTCGATCTTGTATCATTAAATAGAGTCTTCCTTAATATGTAACAAAATTACATCATTTATTCACCGAAATGATTCATAATCCTTCTAACCCAAGCGACAATCTGAAATGCTGCAGCATTTATCCACGATCAGTAAATGTCGCAAGATCCAAGGCTATTGACACTTATAAATGCTCACATATCTCACTATTTATGCAAATAAACATTAAGATTATTTAAAGGACTCTCATCTATAAATTCACTTACTCTACTGTACTTCCTTCCTGCATCAGTTCACCAACCTTTCATCTCAAAACAAATTAAATGGGCGTTGAAAATAATCACAATGCACTGTCTCTACTAAGAAAAATGTAATCCTTTCCATCCACTTGTGTTATCTTTCTCAGACATCTAGACACTCCACCTCATCATTCACTCTATAAATGACTTAAAATGCTTAATGCAAAATAAGAAAATTGCTATTTAATGCTCATTTCTCATGAAATTTATTTCTGTCTGTCTGTTTTTTACTTCCTTCTTGGTGGTGTGTTTTTGAATGGAAGCTCTTTTTGCTTGTTGGTGTGTCTGGAATGAAACTTTTTTTATTAATTAAGAAATATTAATTGTTGATTGCGAGATCTGGTATTTTTTGGTTAATAAATGAGGCTAGATACAAGGTTTTGTGACTAATTTGAAGAAATCAGACATTTTAACATGAGCTTTAGCTTGAAACTTGAGGCAGTCTTTCACTAGATTGGTTCAAATTAAGACCTGTTAAATGGAACCGAACCAATCCTTTGATAAAATATCTGATTATAGCTCGTAAAAAACGCTTTGAGTGTCATTTCCAGTAAGGAAAGTTTGTTGGTTATGAGCACATGATTACTGTATTGGCAAATAGTGGATCCTGAAGAATCAAACCACTCCAGAGCCAGTTAAGCTAGCATAAACAACCCTTACCTCAATAAAATGCAGAACCCCATCTTATAAATCGCATTTCATTTAATTTAAAAAAATTCAATCCTCATACGACATGCTGGAATCCTGAAAATCGTGACATGCTTATAAGTATATTTTGACCTTGTACCCTTAACAATTCCAGCACTTGTTGTTATTATAAATTAAAACCAACGACATTTGTACAAGAACTGCGAGAATGAAAGCAGAATAAAGAAGCAAAAAATGTCCATTGTGCAGTCATCATAATGTTATAATTACAATTTCCCTCCTTCCTTCTTAAACCTTGAAAAGAATGAAATAATAAATGCGGATATTTTTACGTCTTCATTGTTTCAACGTCATAACGAGGATGTTATTATTGTAGGAAATTGAGCCAGAAGGCAATATATTTACATCCATGTACCGGAGAATTGCTGATTCTTTGCAATGAAAAAAGTGCTTACTTTAATAAAGCCTCAACATGAAATAAAAACGATGCGAAACATTTGGAGCGAAAGACCATCAATTTTCAGGTCTTACGCCAATAAAAAGAATTTCCGCTTAATTTGCATGAAATTTTCTAAGCCATAAATTCAATCCATCAGAATGCAAGTTTGATTTATGAAATGTGAAGGTGCGCATATATTGTGAGGGGCGTTGAGGATGTTGGCAAGCACTTGACTAAGGAGAGCCATGCTTTGTTTCAATTTATTGCCTCTGGATGTTAAGGAATACTTCAAATCAGGGATTGTAAATCCTCTTTTAGAAAGTCCTAACTTACTACTTCATTGCCTTCAACCTTAAAATTCTCAAACAAGAAACCTTAAACAAAACATCAAACCTAACCTCAAATTCTGATCAACCAACCCACATTTCAGATTCTATCAAGCAGCAGGCTTTAAAAAAATATTATAATGCTACACATAAAGCTACTAAAGCAGTCGATCAATCAAAGTTAATGATGTGCTCATTATTCAAGGGGAAAAAAGCTCATAAAAAGTTGTCAATACCAAAGATTCATGTGCTGTTTGACAAATTAATTTAGGCTAAAGTCAATAAAAAATTTCATAATCAAATAACATGCCAATAATATTAATGCAAGACTTTGTGACATTTTTAACCCTCAATGAAAATAATTCCTTTTTTTGAAACACGAGTCCTCAAGCTGAAAATGGTAATTATCAATTAGTGATATAATAATTACTGTATTTCATCCATTAATAATGTGTTAATAATGGCACATAAAACCATTTATTTTGTCCTTGTCTGCCCATTTCATTACACTTCATATATAAAGTTTTTATTTGTCTACGACCAAGGGGTTGAAAATTAAACTCCAAAAATGTATTACATGAACATCAAAACCACTCACATAATTCAATAGCTTAAAACAACAACAACGAACAACAAAAAAAGGGATCGAAAAACTATATCAACCACAAAAATTTATAAATTGTGGCATATACACACGTATGTGTACATATAGACTTTCAAAAAAAATTTGCTGAACCCTTTTTTATATAAATACGTATCCAATAATGCTTGCTGTTGGTCGTAAAGGTATTTTACTGCTGCTTACTTGAGTAAAACAAAAGAAATTGAGATTGTTGAAGAATAAATAAGTGGATATCACGTACCATTTGAGATTAAATTAAACAATTTATTTTATAAATGCACTCGTATGAATTTTTGTACTCTCACATTTTATTTTTATTTGATGCTGAGCAAAGATTTTGAAACTGTTAAGGAGATTTTTAGGGATATAGAGGATCATTTTGGGTGTGATAACTGGATGAATTTATTTATTAAGCATGCAGTGAGTCTAAATGATATTGAAGGTTTAGGATCATCTAAAATGTGCGAATTTGACACATGTTGATCTATTTCTAGGTCTTTTGCCCTTCTAGAAAAAATTGTTTCCATAATTTTATCGAAAATAATTCATAAATTTCAAGAAGGGCCATAAAAATCAACAATTAACTTGCAAAAAAATTGTTTATCTAGGTACAAAACCCAAAGCTGATCTTTTTTTACTTGATATTCTCCCTCCATCCATTTTCAGACCTATTTTTTTACAAGTGAATTTCCTTTTATTTGCTAAAACAATTTAACTTACAAATTTATAAAGAGCACCATCAACCCTCATAATTTTTATTTTATTTAACAAGAAATAAGAAGAAAATATGTTAATAAAATGTGAAAAATAAATTGTAGATTTTTATTTTCCTTTTAGAAATTTACACAGCATCTTTGCCTCTGCAAAAAAAAATTCTTATGTTTGCAGTTCTTTGGTTAAACACCCCATACACCCATATTTGATAATTATTTTTTAATGAACGCGTTGAATTTTTTACAACTTTGACTTTGCTTTGTTGGCTTCTGGGAAACCTAAACGGTAAAGTGAAATAACAACAGCACCACCAAGACCAAGATTATGTTGAAGTGCCAATTTGCAGTTCTGAACTTGACGCTTGTCAGCTTCACCTCTTAATTGCCAGCATAATTCAGAACATTGAGCAAGACCTGTTGCTCCAAGTGGATGTCCTTTAGAGATGAGACCACCACTTGGATTGATGACGTATTTACCGCCTGTCAAAATAAACTTAAATAAGAATCTGATTAATCAACTAAAACCTAGAATTAATTACCATAAGTATTGTCACCGCGGTCAATCATTTCATGAGCCTTTCCTTCAGGACACAAGCCAAGTGCCTCATAAGTAATCAATTCATTAGCTGAAAAACAATCATGAAGTTCAACAACATCAACATCTTGTGGCTTATAATTTGTCTGAGCAAACACTTTTTTTGCTGCTGCCTTTGTTATATCATATCCGACTAATTTGATGCTGCTCTTTTCGTTCAATGATGACTCGAAATCAGTATTCATTTCCATTGCAACAATTTCAACTGCTTGTGATTCAAGCTTGTGTTTACGAACAAAATCTTCGTTGGCAACAATGCAACATGCTGAGCCATCGGAAGTTGGACAGCATTGAAGTTTTGTGAGTACTCGATGCACTTGTGTTGAGTTTTGGATCTGTTCCAAAGTATACTCATCTTGGAACTGTGAGTATGGATTGTTGACAGAATGTTTGTGATTTTTGTAAGCGATTTTCGCGAAATGTTCAGGCTTTGATCCATATTTCTTCATATGCTCTTCCCCAGCATTACCAAAAAGTTGTGATGCCGGTGGAGCTGATGTAAATCCTTCCAATTCAACCATTTGTTCGAAATGCTTATCTAATGGAACTGTTCTATCATTCCACTTAGTTCCTAATGATCCTCTTTCCATCTTTTCAAATCCAAGTGCAAGAACACAGTCATTGTTTCCAGTTTCAATTAACTGCTTGGCTAAGAAAAGTGCAGATGCACCAGTTGAGCAGTTATTGTTGACATTGTAGATTGGAATGCCTGTCATACCCATTTGATAAAGAGCTCGTTGGCCAGAGCATGACTCGCCTTTAAAAAACGTTTAAAAAAGTTAATTTAAAGGACTTAAAACTTTCAAGTTCCAGAGCTTACCATAGCAAAATCCAACAGTTGCTTGTTTGACCTCCTTATAATCGATTTTAGCATCTTTCAATGCTTTCGTAACGGCCTCTTTAGCCATATCAGGATAGTCAAAGTTCTCTCGCCTTCCCGGCTTTTCAAACTGTAAACATAAATCAATTCCTTAATGTATAAACTTTCAACAATTTCTCAAGAATATTTTCCCATAATTGTTTAAGTTAATCTCTCTCGATAGCAACTCATTCCGTCGTAGAAAGTAACAAAAATAATTGTTGATAACTCAAAGTGCTGATAAAATTTATTCCTTTTCTAAAGTCCAAAGAGCAAAAAATTCTAGAATAAAACTATTTAAAATTCAGCTTTTTACCTTCGTCATTCCGCATCCAATTACAAAAGTTCTGATTTTTGGCATGTTTGAGAAACTTTTAATCATAAAATAATTTCAAAATATCAAATGTAAGACTTTTAAAAATTAATTAAAGTTTTTAACTTTTCACTTTACTTATTTTTTAAAAATAAAATAATGTCAATCCTCTAGCACTGCTGAAAAGAGAATGACTAGAAAATGAAATGAATATTAAAAGTCCACATTCATTTATTTTTGATGATAAGCAGGTGAGAATGTTTGTGTGAATTGTGTGTGACACTATCAAAAATATGTTGTAAGGTGGTATGAGAAATGAAGAAGAAGAGTACGACTTTTTGCTTTTTTACGGTCGCACATTAATTAATCAAATTAATTCTGCATGAAAACTAATCGTCGCAATTTATTAAGTATTTACTTTATTAATCAAATCATTAATCAATTGATAACTTACTAAATTTGTAGCTATTGAATATTTAAAGGGTTCTCCGTCTCCCTTTTAGCATCAACCCCCCCCCCCCCCCCACCCCTTCTTTCCTGATTATGCCTCAACTTCTATTGAACTTTTTAATTAATCCCATAAAAGCTATCAAAGCTATTCAACTTTCTTTTAATTAATTAAATTTTTGAAAAATTGCAAATCTTTATTTCATATTCTGGGTATTCTCAGTTTTAATTTATATGCTTGAAATATTTCACTGAATGATTTTAATTCGACGAAGTTAGTTCAACCTTAACCGAGAAACCACAACCTGTTCTAAATTCTGTGTTGAAAATTAAAATGGTATGTTTTGATTTGAAAACATTTTCAGAAGATACATCTTAATTAAGCTTTTCTAAACATTTGATGCTAATCTGATTCATGAGAGATTTGAATTTTATGTAGATTGCATTGGTTTTTTGCATGAAGTTTTTTGGTTACTTACAGTTGTTTCATTTTGTGAATTTGATGAATATTCCGAGAAAATCCTGAAGGAGTCGTTCGAAAATGACGTCATTTTAAAAGTTGAATAATCTGTCCTATTAAACTGATATTAAGGAGTCAATCAACAGGAGATTTTAAAATTTGAGCCAATATTTTAAAATTGTTAAAAGAAGGCATCATAATGGACCGTTCACTTAAGACGTTCAAGGGGGGGGGGGGGGGGGGGTCAGCAAGAAAATAAAAATAGAAATTCCTGAAAATCCATTGTTCTTTTTTGAAAAATGACCGGTAATTTCGGACGTCATAAGTGAACGACCCCTAAGTATCCCTAGAAAAAAAATTACACATCATATCTGAATCCCTCAACTGATTTTACTTAGTTCAAAAGTCTTAATTCTTGACATGCACCAAAAATTGTTCATAACTTTTTCATAAACTACAGCAACAAAATGCTCAAAAAACTTTAAACAAAATCTCCTATTTCTCCTACAACATTCCATTTCATATCAATTCTTCAAAAAAGCCTCCACACAAAAAAATAACAATTTTAGAGAATGACACGATATCCTCTTGACACTCATGTCATAACATTTTCATTCTTGACCCTTATTTTTCCTCTTTGCTGCTGAAGATCAATTTCAATTTTGTGTCTGTTTCGTTCAAAAAGGAAGTAAAAGGAAATCTCATCATGCTTTTTTGTGAAGGATATGACAGAGACAATTTGTTAAATCTTAAAAAGATATTTTCGTGGAATAAGAAAGTTACACAAATAGGATCTACACACTTATTATGGATGCTGTAAATGATTTAGTCTAGAAAATAAATTGATGTGAGAATTTCGGTCATGATGGTTGAGGTTGAAGCTCAGGTTCTTTGGCATGGATGATAGATTTTTTAAATTTATTTAGCTCTAGCTTAAATCTAGTCTTAATGAATTCAGCCTTGCTATGCTTCTTGTTACTGAGGTAATTAAGGGCTGTAAAATGAATAACCCCTTAGATACGCACCGCCAAAGAAACATATTCAATCTAAATTCCCAGACACCTCTACACATTTTCTAAATCCAATCAGTAGAACCAACAATTTATGCAAAACTTTCATGCAAGCTTAAAATTAATTTTCCTTAACAAGTTTTGCATACAAAATGTTTCATCCAGAAATTTCATCAAAAATTGTTTTCTCTTTGATAAACTTTCCAAATCCAATTTGAATCCTGATATGTGTAGATATTCTGCAGTCAGACTGAAATGCAAATTAAAGCAATAAAACTTTTACAACAAAAAATATAAAATATTACCCTTTTAGAAAAAAAAACAACATTTTATTCATAAAAAATATTTCACCTTACAAGTTAATGAATAAGCACCAGCAACCATCATAACTTTAAGTTTATATTAAAGTTTTTACATGAATATTTTTTTTAAGAAGTTTTTAAATGAATAATTTTAAATTGTATCATAAAAAATAAGAAAAAAAAGTATATGAATGCACATCCCCATCGTAAAAAAAATGTAAAGTTGCTCACTGCTTAATGTTGCTAAGGAATTATTTATCATCACTCAAGTTTTTTGTAGTGAATTATTTACTACATGCTTGGATTTGTTAATTTAAATGGATTATATGAGTTATGGAATTTTGAAGATTTTTTGAGGGGAGGTCCCAGATAGAGACACCCCTTACCTACTTCCAGCTTTATACTTGATTACCAATATTTTATTAATGAAGGAAGTCTATTTGGGACAAATCTAAACGAAGAATACAATTAAAAATGAGATTTTCATATCAGACCCCCCCCCCCCCCTCCTTCCCGCATTCAACAAGTTCTTCAAAAATATATATTTTGTCCTATAAAAATTAAACATCATTTATGAAAGACCCCTTAAATTAATCCCTTCACCAAAATATCCAATCATTTCATTTCCATTAACACAGATTATCTGTAAAATCTGTAAAAGATCGCCTACCGCAATTTATGGGAAAATTTATAACTTTTATCTAATTAGCCATCAAATTAGCATGTTGAGCATTCAATTGAAATCCTATTTCTATTTCCAAAACACCTAATTTTCATTTTACCGCGAGCAATAATGTATAAAATCAGTACATAACAATAAAACATTGAAGCATAAAATCACGCAAATTAATCAACGTCCTACAAAGTCCATTTTCCAATAATTTTGTGGTAATTGAGAGCCTCATATATCATGAAAAATTTTCCCGACATTTCAACACACGAGAGAAGCGCAGAGTGTGTATTTCATCTCATTAATACAGAAATTCGAGATAAGGGTCGTTCACTTATGAAGTCCATCAAAAAACCTGATTTTTAGACCCCCCCTCCCCCCCCCCCCCCTCTGTCACAAAAATTCTATATAAAAAAATTTCGATTGTTTAAACTGTCACAAAATCCTAGACCCCCCTCCCCTAAATGTCGGACGTCATAAGTGAACGGCCCCATACTGTAAAAAGCCACAACTCACATTATCCATGAAAACTTTATAAATCACCGCACATTAAATACAAAAAAAAAGATTTTTTTTTTACAATTTATGTTTAACCCTCAACTCTTCGATGCGATGTTGTGCTGTACGTTGCAAGTCAACGAGCTTCAATGCCAATCCCATGTTGCCAGAAATTTTCACTTTACCTTGGAAAAATGCTTTCTGTGGATTGATCTCGCCCTTGATTAACTCTGTTACATCCTTATCATTAATGATAAATGTTACGTCCGGCTTTTCTGTTCCATTGTATGTAATTTTTCCTTTTCCAGTTTTAGCATTTATAACCCAATAGCCTTCTGCTCCGCCTGGACCATTTGTTACTCGAAAACCATAAATTCCACGAACTTTCTCAATTAAATTTTCTTTGTCTTCCATCATTGCCTGTTCGAATATTTCCATTAGTGGTGAAACAAGGAAACCATCTGGCGTTGGCTTAAGTTTGCTATTTTTTGCTGCGGATTTTGTGTTACCACTTGTTTGTGTGGTGGCTGGAGCAACTTGTTTACGAGTTTCTGGAAAGCCTAAACGATAAAGCGCAATAACAACAGCACCACCAAGACCAAGGTTATGTTGAAGTGCCAATTTGCAGTTCTGAACTTGACGCTTGTCAGCTTCACCTCTTAATTGCCAGCATAATTCAGAACATTGGGCAAGACCTGTTGCACCAAGTGGATGTCCTTTAGAGATGAGACCACCACTTGGATTGATGACGTATTTACCGCCTGTCAAAATAAACTTAAATAAGAATCTGATTAATCAACTAAAACCTAGAATTAATTACCATAAGTATTGTCACCGCGGTCAATCATTTCATGAGCCTTTCCTTCAGGACACAAGCCAAGTGCCTCATAAGTAATCAATTCATTAGCTGAAAAACAATCATGAAGTTCAACAACATCAACATCTTGTGGCTTATAATTTGTCTGAGCAAACACTTTTTGTGCTGCAACTTTTGTCAGATCATATCCGACTAATTTGATGCTACTTTTTTCATTGAATGTCGATTCAAAATCAGTATTCATTTCCATTGCAACAATTTCAACTGCTTGTGATTCAAGTTTGTGTTTACGAACAAAATTCTCACTTGCAACGATGCAACATGCTGAGCCATCGGAAGTTGGACAGCATTGAAGTTTTGTGAGCACTCGATGGACCTGAGGCGATGCTTTAATTTGTTCCAATGTGTATTCATCTTGGAACTGTGAGTATGGATTATTGACGGAATGTTTGTGATTTTTGTACGCGATTTTAGCGAAATGTTCAGGCTTTGATCCATACTTCTTCATATGCTCTTCCCCAGCATTACCAAAAAGCTGTGATGCCGGTGGGGCTGTGGACATCCCTTCCATATCAATCATCAACTCGAAATGCTTATCTAATGGAACTGTTCTATCATTCCACTTAGTTCCTAATGATCCTCTTTCCATCTTTTCAAAACCGAGAGCCAAAACACAATCATTTTTGCCGGTTTCAATTAACTGTTTGGCAAGAATGAGTGCAGATGCACCAGTTGAACAGTTATTGTTGACATTGTAGATTGGAATGCCTGTCATACCCATTTGATAAAGTGCTCTTTGACCAGAACATGATTCACCTTAAAGAGAAATTTTTGAAGATTATTAATTTGAGATGTTGGAAATTTATTTTAATTTCAAATATGAGCTAAATTGAGTTTGAGTAGACTTAATGATCAAATATGCAAAAAAACGTGTGCAAATATTTATTAAAGTTGCGAATGTATGAAGCTATAATTAACATTAGAATTGTGCAATTGAAGTGAATTCAGTTCATTTTAAAATTGTAAGTCGACAAAAATTGAATTTGTAAAATTGTTAAAAACTCAACCTAGTTCCAAAATTTCTGCGATTTCAGCTTACCATAGCAATATCCAACAACAGCCTGCTTAACTTCTTTATATTCAATTTTAGCATCCTTTAGTGCTTTTGTTACAGCCTCTTTAGCCATGTCAGGATAGTCAAAGTCCTCTCGTCTTCCCGGCTTTTCGAACTAAAACATAAAAAATCAAATATATTCATTGATTTACTGGAACAGCATTCAAAAACACCAAAACAAGTTTTCATCAAGTACAACTACATTTTGAAATGTTTATTACACGATTCATACATATTTGCGTAATAATTTACAGCGAAGCAGTAATGAACAATCATCATAAAAACATTCGTGTGACAAAGTTCAATTCGAATTTTGATAATTCTTTTGTTTATTTTTAGTTCCAAATACGATAAGGAGATCAAAAGCTACAAAATCAATGAAATGTAATAGCGAAAGCTGAGCTAATTGAGTTCAGTTGTGTTTAATTAGATATTGTGAAATCAAAATCTCTACATTTTAGAAAGTAAATTCAATTGCAGACTTCATACCTTTGTCATTCCACAACCGATCACAAAAACTCGCTGTGTAGACATTTTTAAGATCCAAAATTTCAAATATCACAAGAAAGTTTTTTAAATTTCAATTTTAATTTGCAAAAAAAATCGAAAAAAATCACAAGAAAAAGGCAAGTTGAACTTTGACAATCTCCCAGAAATGAACAACAACTGACTGAAACTGATTGAGAAGAAAAGAAATTGAGAAATAATCACAAATGAATACACAAAAAAATAACATTAAGAGAGAGAGAAAATGTGAAGCAAAACAAAAAGAGGATGAGAGGAGAGAATTTGAATGTAAATGTTCGACCGTCGACAATCAGCGGGGCATGTAACGTGAGATTCTCATCTTAACAGTATATACGCCATGTATCCCTTTTCGCATCTCTTATGTGGCTTCAACATAATTCACATTACTTGACCCCTCGATTCTACCAACAAAAAATAAATTATTATTGCAATATTTTGATTATTTAAGTTATTTTCGCGATTTAAAGTGCTAAAACTACCTAAAACTGATTCTTTACCGAGATCTCATATCAGGATAAATTGAAAGCATGAAAAAATTGCATAAAATCTAAGTGAAAAGTGAAAATCAAATTCCTTAAAAAATCGATAAAAGATAAATAAAAATCTCAATAAAACGTGCTAAATATTTATAAAATAGCTTATAAATCACATAGTTCAATACTTGATGATTCATAATAGATAATAATTACATGTGCATAGCATAATAAATACGACATAACAGTGAATTACAAGGAAAAGAATTAAAAAAAAAGTTTAAAAAAGATTTCCACATAGCTACAACAGAGTGCGCTCATATCGAACTGGATGTTCAATCACTTTTCTTTCATTTCAATATATATATAAAAAAAATTTCACGTACATGAAAGAGAAAAAAAAAAGTTTTTTTTCATCATTCGCTTAAAAAAATAATAAACGAAAAGTGAAGAGGAATAATTTCTTTTATGAAAGGACCCAAGGATTCTCGTCATGAAATGTTGATAGATTGAACACGAAATTTGATTTTCAGGCGAATCCAGAAAGAGGACTCATTTTTAAATGGACAAAAAAGTGTAAATAAAATTATTTTGATTATAAATTCATCATTTTCGGTGTATTACAAGGAATATTGAGAGCAGTAAGAAGAGATGTGAAGAAGAAGAAATAAAAAAGTTTTTTTTTGTGATTTATTTAGTCTCTGATTTCTTTAAAGTTATTTTCATCATTCATTTTTATTTATTTTTCCTTTAAATGAAACTTAAAACTGATGCTTAAGCATCGGATGTCATGAAAGTCAAGTGAATATAAATTTTCATACATTCTACTTCTTACTTCTCGCATCTATGATGTGAAATATTGTGATGATTATGATGATGATGTTGATGGTGTATGCTAAATAGCTAATAATTTACTCCACAGTAATTACGTACGATGGAGATGAAATGAATGTTTTTCTTCAGCATCTGATGATGAATTATTGAAACGTATATCTTGAACATTTAAATGAAATTTTAGTGATGTGTGAAAATTAAAAATTTGAACTTCATCATTTTTTTTTCATGTATTTTATAAATTTTTTTATTTTTTCGTGAGGAAGAAAAGAAATTTATGAGCGAATGAGAAGCCATTTCAACATCATCATCAATTTCAATCTCATCTCTTTCTTCACATCATTTTACTTAGCGTATTTTTCATCTTAAAAGCTGAACGATTTTGATTGCGATTTGATAGGTTGTCTGGACAGTTATTTCGATGGAATTTGAGGCTTGCTGGGTAATTGGTTTATTTGACGGTCTGTCTATTTACAGTTTTTAGTGGCCACACAAGTTGTGAGAGATTATTTGTCGATTATGACTTTGCTGTTGGTCCAGAAATGCCTGATCAATATCGAGGACTACTTACTCGGCAATCAATAAAACATGCTTAACAACCCCCCAATAGTTTTCCACAACCCAACCCGATCCTCACATTCGTCAAAATGGCGCCAATAGACAAATTTTCCTTAAACGGCGCCTGCGAGACCTCTAAACTGCTATTCTATCGCGTGCTCTATCAGAATTATACACAACTTTCAATGATAAATGACTTAATCTCTTTTCACTAATCGAACGAAAATAGCAAACAAATGTTTATACAATTATCATCATTTGAATCAATTGTTAGAGAATAATTTCAATCAATGAGATATTCATTTAGATTATAGAGCCGAGAATACGATAATTGGGATATAAATGATGAAATGTTATCGAAAAAAATATTAAATGGATCAGAAATTTCTTGATAAGTTTTTAATGTCGTGATTGATAAGGTTCTCAGAAGTGGAATTTAATAGCGGATAAGCGGTTTTTATTATTCTTATCAATTAAGTACCTCTTGAGAATTTTTATGGCGCTTTTGAAATTAAATGGAAGTTTGTTGAAAATAATTGATTATTTGGATTTAAAATGCTGCATACAAATGCATTTGAAGGTCGACAAAGCTTAACTTTTTGAATTTCATAAATATCAGCTTCAAATTTTAAACATTTTGAAATTTACTATTCAATGCATGCCGGTAAGCTTAACAAAAGAACCGGCAAAAAAAACTCGAATGTTTGTTCGAGAAAAAATAACGGTCTGAGTTATTGTTTAGAAAAGTTTCTGTATGGGTTGGATTATGGTTTTATTTTTTTATAGAGTTGAAAGGGGTTTGTGAGACACATTCAGACATTTTAGAGCTATATTACCATAATAATTTTTCAAAGCTAGTCTAAAATTCCATAGTGTTAAAATAATCAAAGCAATCAATTCAAATCATTTAGTGAAAAATATTTTTTCAACCTTGAAATTATTCTCAAAAATTCAAAATTCAGTTAAGCAATTCAAGTTCAATCCTCAAAAATGCAAAATTCTTCAATTCCAACGTCACATTCTAAACGCCAGGCAATCTTTTAAAGGAAATCATAAAACTCAACTTTACTGCAGTTCTTTGAAGTTTTTTGTACCTACTTTAATGATTTTTTTCAAAAATTTCATATTACAAAAAAAATAATATGCAGAAGAAGCATCATAAAGATCAGGTAACAAAATTTTTATTGAGTAGGAAAAACCCACTGATTATGAATTAGGATGGGATGTTAATTTGTTGGAATTAGAGAATAGTTTGATGATAAACTTTAAATTTGGATCATGGTTGATTTTCGCAAAGTAGGTCAAGTTTGTTCAAAAAGTAGTGCGGTTATAAGAAATTTTTTAAAATTTGTAAACTTTTTAATAGTTTAAATCAAAGCTTTTTAAAAACTCGGAAGGCTCAACAGTAGACTTTAATGAGCTTTTAAAATTTTTAAATGAATAGCTAAATCTTGTATCTTAATTATCAAGGAACTTTAACATAAAAGCTGGCATTCAGTTGCTATAATGCCTATATTTTTCCTGCTTGGTACAGTGAGCCTTATAACAAACTACTGGTTTTCTTAAGAGGTTCACTAAATAAACTTTGAACTTGGGGAAGCTTAAGATAACTTGTGACTTCCGGAGTGGAAGCAGAAGAAGATTAACAAAGTCAGAAACAAACGTTTCCCCTAGCAGAAATTTCCTAGTAATTTACTGGATAACTTTCTATTTGCTAATTGCTATTTACTAGTCAAAATCCAAGTTCAAATCATCGCCAAAGACCCGCATTTTCACTTGCTAATTGACTAGTCAATTCGCTTAAATTTAACTAGTAATTTACTAGCAAATTTTTAAAAAATTTAAATGAATATAACCGTTGATTTCCACGTGTTTTTTTGATTTTTCTTATTTGTGTAAATTATTGTAAAAGTATTAGTGAAAGTCACATACAAATTTGGATCGATCTTATAAAGGTGATTTCTGCGCGCTCTTGTGAAGTATATGGCAAATGTCAAATTTAGAACAAAATTTTTTATGACGCAACAAAAATTCTTTTTTTGATGATTTTTCGTAAGATTCGAACTTAAGCAGATTTGATCAAACATTTTACATGGTAATTTGCTAGTAAATAGCAAGTGTAATTTATTAACAGTAAGTTGTTTTAATAATAACTAGTAAATTGCAAGTTGTAGATCAATCCCCAAATTTGTTGATCTGATTGAATCTAATACAATGAATGATTAATTTCAATCTAATACATTTGAATAAGTTTAGACATTCACAACTGATCCACAACCTAATCATCAAATCAACATCAAGTCAAAACTTCAAAGCTCAGAGATTAAAGAATCACACAAAAAAAAACAAATCAAAGAATCTCAGTCACTTCTGTCAGTTTCACTTCACCGCAATCGTTAAAATGATAAATTACGATAAAGAAACTGAAACAAGTGCCTAGACCTTGGAAATACTTTTCCAATCACTAAAAGTATATTTTTTTTTTATTTCTTTTGAAGCAACAGAAAGTAAATTGAAATCGAAGAAAAAGAAGCAAAAAAAAAGTTTTTTTTGTCTGTTGTTTACTTTTCCTTCACTAAATGAGAAAATATGGAGTGCCATAAAAATACCAGAAGGAGGAGAAAAAATTATTAATTAATTGAGAAGAAATATTTACAACTTGAAAAAAAAAGAGACGAAAGAAAACGTGAGAAACAGTCAATCAGTGAAGAGTGTAAAAAAAAAGTAAAGAAAAAAAAATCTGATTAATGAAGAAGAAGAATTAAAAGAAACATAAAGAAAAACAAAACAAGTGATTAAGTGATTAAAAGGAACCTACACACGGGGGGATAATTAATTAATTAATTAATTTCAACAGTGGATCAACTTTCTTCTCACATTTTAAAATTCTTTTTATTTTTTCTTGTGAATTTATTCATGTTTTCGTCTTAAATAACTCAATTCAGTGAATGTGTACTTAAAAGTGAACAAAAAAATCTTCAAAAGGAAACAAAAAATCCTTGTGGTGCGTGAAAAAAAGCATCGTCATCTCGCTCACCCACAACACATCATCATCATCATCATTTAGCTCTAAACACATAATTTTACATCGACTATATGTGTACATTCATCAAGATTATTTTCAAAGCAATTTCCTTACAATAGAGGAGAGCATCATCATCACCCACATAAAGGAAAATAAAAAAAGTTAAAAAGGGAAAAGAAAAATCCATCGCCCCACACAAACACACATCTCGTCTCACTTATTCCTTCTCACTCAACTTAATATAGAAAATAAGGAAAATATAAAGTATTAAGTGGAATTTAAAAAAAAAGTTTTTCAAAAAAAAAACGAGAGGAGTAAAGAGTGTTTTTCTTGTGTATTATAGCTGCATATACATATAATAATCTAGCATAAATATAAAAAAAATATATATATATATATAAGTAAAAATATAAAGAAGATGTGTGGATGGATGAAAGAAGAAGGGGTGAGAAGTCATCATCATGGAAATTGATGTGAAGCAAAGTAAACAGCGAAATAAGAGACGGGAGAGAGCACAACGTATGCAAGCTGAGCGAGATAAAGATGCGGATGGGGTTGGCATTGTCGATGGTGATAGTGCTGATGAAGATTCAAAGAAGCCCATCAGACCACCCCAGAGACGCAAAAAAGCGAATATATTTAAGGAGCCATCTCCAATACTTGAGGAAGATGTTGTAGATGGATTTGCAATTTTATCATTTAAAAGTTATGAGGATTTAGAGGTAAGTGAATTGTTTATAGCTTTTATTTTGACATTATTTGGATAAACCCGTGTATGTGTTTTGGTTTGAGGGGGATCTTCTAGTGATCCACATATTGTCCCTGAATTAACAACATATTCAAACTAAAGTCGAATCTTACATTATATTATTGATTATTGACACCTAACCTCAAACAAATTCAATATTCCTACCCATTAGTCTACAAAATAGAAAACTGCATCCACAACCAATCGCACCTACTCCAAATACAGTACATTGTGGAAATTTGCTCATTCGAAAAGTAAAAAAGCTTTGATGTGGGAAAACTTTATTTCTTTTCATCCTTTTCTCACTTCTCATTTTCTCTATTTCTCCTTCCATCAATGACTTGTAGAGTCTTTCATTTACTTACAGGAAAAAAGAGCAATTTTACTGACTTTTCAACACCAAGTTGATACATTCTGTAGCAAAATAGGAGATTTTACTTGTCTGTCATTACACTTTTTGTTGCCTTTTACATCTTCTTCTTCGCACTTTTTTTTGTTATTGTTCAATTTGATGGGATTCCTAAATTGGAATGGAATGAGAAACGTCAACAACTTTCCTACTTCTTTTTTCTTTTGTGTGACGTTCATTCAGGGAAAATCTTTATCAGATTTTCATCTTTTTTCCTTTTCTTTTTTTGGGGATGAAAATGAGAAATTTTCATGATTCAATTTCTTTTTTTTGCCTTTTGTTGGAAATGATTGTTGGAGTAAATTTTGTGTGATGATTCTTTTTTTTGTAACAAGATTGTAAAATTAATTGGAATGTTGAAGCATTGAGCATTTGACTTGTGATGGGATCCAGAGGATTTTGAACTTTCCACAAGATTGAACTTTATTTTTTGAAAGCATGAAAGGAGTCAGGGGAGAAGGTGTGACTGGACACCCTTTGAGAATGAAAGTTGTTTGAGAAAAAAGCCAGATTTTCCATCAAGAAGTCAGACTCCCTTGGTTTGGGGTCTTATTTGATTCAAATTATTAGATATTCAGTGCATTACGACAATGATTCTCTAAAAGGAGAACAGTGCTTAAAATACCGATGGTTAATTCTACACTTCATCTAAATATCCCCTAAGAAAGTATCCCATTTATCACCCTTTTGTCATTAATCTAATAAATTTAATGAATTGACTCATCAAATATCCATTTCCTTATCAAATATCCTAAATCTCGTTCATACACAAAACTTGATCCTATCAGAAATGTTCACACAAAATCAAAACACGTGAAATCGATTACAACAAGTCAGTCAGAAAAGTCTTTCAGAAGCATAAACAATAAAAAGTTTCCTCAAATTTCCCACAACCGAAAAATGTTCCTTGAGTGTTTTGGTGCAAAGGAATTCTACCGAAAATAAATTGGCCTGAATTATTCATTTTTTGTTACCTTTAAAGAGTTTGTTTTATGTTTTTGATTGTCACACGATATGAAAATGAATTTTCATAAAATGAGGTTTTTTTTCTGGAAAATTGTAACATCAAGTATGAAAATAATGGAAGTTTTAAAATAGAATTTGTACTTTGTAGCACTTAAAAAAATACAAGCTGTTATATAAACTGTTATTTTTTGAAAAAAAATTCTGAAAAGCACCTCGCCTCAAATTTCAATTTAAACGGTTGTAATTGCACTCCCACGGTCTCTTAGCTGCAAATTGATAACAAAATGTACCTTTGCGATATTCCTGTAACGCCTTCTTTACTGCTTAAATATCAAGTTGGAGCTTCTTGCTTTAAAAAAAATTTTGAAAATTATTTTAAAATGAATGACAATTTATGCAGCTAAGGAGAACTTAATTCTGATTAAAATATTTTTTATCTTCTACTTCTGAGTTACAAAACTTCAATCATATTCTAATTTACTCCTGCTTCCTTTAAATTGTATATCAGAGTAAATGACCTATTTAATACATTTTTGTATTGTGAAAACTGAGGCGTTTAAGATTCTTTTAAATTTTATGCCATTCCTAGCTCAAGCCGCATTCGTACAAAGAGATTTGGCCTGCTGATCCTCTCCTTTATAAAAATACTATTGCTGATGAATACTATGAATGCAGATAAGAGAATGCAGCTTGAATTAATAGGCTGAATGTTTAAAAGATTTAAAAGATTGATGTATTTAAACATTACTTCCATTATCAACATTGACAAGCTTAATTATAATGAAATCATCTCTCAAGGGAATATTTTGTCAAATCAGCTTTAAAATTTTAATCTAAATTTAATTACCAAACCTCTTCTTGCTCAATTAATTATCTATTAAAATGTATGTTGTCATCAAAAACCTTACATTGACATTTCAATTTTTAATTAATTTTCGGTGGTCAACTTCCGGTGGATATTGATTCCAAACATAGCATTAGTTTGATTTTAAATTAATAAACATTCCATAAATTTTTCTAAATTTGTTAAGCTAGTCACGCATCATTGTTTTAAAATTTCCAAAATTTAAATCATGTTTGGAATAACCAAGCTATTAAAAGATAATCTATAAGCCCTAGACAGCATCTGATTAAAAGATATAACCTCAACAATTTTCCATACCCTCCTTTACAGTTAAATAATTCATAAATGTGACAATTAATATTTTACTTTCTCGAGCTTATTACTCATCAAAATCCGAGAAAATGCTCTAATTAATTTTTCACGACCTTTTTGAAAAAATTTTTCCATGATTTATTTAACAGAATTGTTTGTCAAACCCAAACAACTGGTTCTTCTACTTGAACAACTACTCAAAATAAATATCAAGTTTAAACAGCACTTGTTAATTTCTTAAGATCATTGTTGTTTGGTACTTAGACATCTTAAAAATAAGATTCGGAAAGCTATTTATAAATGCTCAAAATTAGCGACATTCAGTCTCGTTTATTTAACTGATTAGATCACAGCAAGGTGTTAATCTGCAGATTCTTTGATTTCCAATTTTTGCATGTATTTTTATCTCAAAAAATCTAATAATAGCTACTTGGTAGATATCTATATAAGTGAGGGGATATATTAATATCAATTTTAGTTTGTATTTCAACCTCTAGCTGAGAATATTTGAAGAATTGAATGAGTTTCAGGATTCAAAAGTTTATAATTTATAAAAGAAAGTTTTATCAAAAGGTAGGCAAGGGTTTGGGAAATTGGGAAGCTGCAAATAATTTGTAAGAGTCATTGAAAGCAGCAACAACTCTTGATAATTATTATTTGGTCATTATATAACGCTAAGGAGGGTTTTGGGGGCACTTTTATCGCATTTTTTCAAAAAGTTTTGCTTAACAAAGGTCTGAAACTACTAGAGCTAACACCATCTAGCTTAAACTCTCCTAATCAGCTTCATAAATTCCAAATTACCAACAAAGCATTTCAAGAAGTAATTAAAACAAAAATTTAAACCCAACAAGAAGAAAAAATTCTTTCATAATTTATTGATTCCTTTTACAACCTCTTTACCTACCGTCTTTACATCCAAAAAAAGGTCATGTCTAGAAATAAACTTCAGGTTAATTTTGAAGAACAAATATTCTGTCAAAAGATAAATTTAAATTTATGCCATGTTAAGAATATTTTTTACTACCATTAGACTCCTCACATTTATTGATTTAATAACCTACAATCATTATAAAAACAAACATGAACTCATAAAATATTTAATTACTTCAAGGCTCTTTACACTTCAAGGATATTTCAATATGAAATCTTGGCATTTATCCTGATCATGAACGACTCGAGTTGAATGAATTTTTAAGCAGCTTTAATGGTGATTATGTAAATTGAAGTTGTCACTTTGGCATTTTTTTAAAAAAAAAACTTTTTATCTCTTTTTTGTGCTGCTAAATGCTCTTAATGAGCTTTTTAGAATGGCAACGACATTTTAAAATTTTATACGATTTCAATTTCTGTGCTCCTGTCAAGTTTCTAAAATGTCAAATTAGATGATTTGATTGTTAGCGAATGGAATAATTGCATTAAAAGATTTTAAGATTGGGAAGTGTCTGGATGTTGTGATTTTGATGTTATCAACTTAGAGGGTGATGGATGTTGATAAACATGAATGATTGTAGGATTTTTGGTAGACTTGATTGTATTTTCTAAAGATTTAAGTCATTATTAATGATTTTCAAGCTTTGTATGGCTAATTTAAGCAGACAAGAATTCATTTCTAGCCAATTTACAAAGAAACTGTTTAAAAACACAAACTTATAACTTGCTTAACTTATAAATCCTCAAAAAACTGCAAGTCAACATTACAAATCCAGACTTTAGCTCAAAGATTGATACCGCATCCAAAAATAAATTAAAATGCACCAAAATTATCTACAAACTTTCAGTCCTATCCAATCCTTATCTGTTGATCTAGATACAAAAATATCGCGCATCATCAGACACACGTCACAGCATGATACATTTCTAGATTTACAAAAAGCCAAAAGGGATTAAATTTGCGATATTAACTGATACCCAAAGATAACTTCCAATACCAGAAATTAATATCAATATGTGATTAAAACATTTATTTCATCTTACCTTTGGGATTAAAGTTGATTAAGATAGCTGAAAAATATGTGTGATATCATTAAGACATGAAAATTGATATCGATATCGAGGGTCAAATATTTGTGATAAGAAAAGTAAGAAACATTTTTTGATTTCGAATGACTAACTTTGCTAATTGGGAGTTTGATTTTTAAGGTGATTAATTCTATGGAAACAAAAGGTGTACAAGTTAATCAAGATTTTAATGATCATGTTTGTTTATGATTGAATATAATACGATTATTATTTCAATTTGTTTTGTCCACGTGTGCTTATTATGTGGAAAATAAATCAGATTTGTTGGGTATTGTTGCTGTTGATGATAGGTTAAACAATAGCACAATTAAAATTGTTTTGTGCTTTGTTAAGTCTAAAATTAAATCAAAATGGACAATTTAATGCTCGATTGATGTCAATAAAGTCAATTAGATTGATAAAATGCTGCAAAGTTAATCAA